CATTGACGTGTGCGTGTGCATGTGTGTGTGTGTGTGTGTGTGTGTGAATTGAGGGACGTAATGTTCGCTCATGACGTCATGTCTTTTCCTGAACGTAAATCCTGAATTTACTTTTTCTTAAAGAAACATGTCCCTGTTTAAAAAAAGAGTCATCTCAAATGTCACCAACCAACCAGGACTCGGTCATTCTAAACGCATGATATGCTGATAAATTAAGATCCAGTACACACAACTCTATTTTATCATTTAATGGAGAGTTCAAAGTTCCGAAACATACAAAATGTCATGTGGGGCTTGGGAAATAATTATATAAAAATGTACAAAAACGTCAATAGTTTTACAGGGCATATCAGGTTCTTTCAGACAGTGTTATATGAACCTTGAAGCTGTGTGTACATGTGTGGTAACGTGTGTGTCATTGCATCACACACAGGACGGATGCTGTGTCACTTGCTGCTGAACAAGTTTTACAACCTTCTTTCAATCGTCTAGTGATGAAAAAGGTGGAACAAGGAACTAATGAGCTAATGTTGAAAAAAAGAACGAAAGAAATCCCAAAGTTACTAAGAAAAAGTTGCTGATTCTCACAGCCAGAAACCAAACAGAAATAGGCTTTCCAATAAAGTTTCAACATTGACCATGACTACGACTTGTTACCAACACTCAGCTGCTCGCATGTTTGACGTTTACAAGTTCCCTCCCACAGTGAAAGAAACTCAATACACTGTTGAAATCTCTCAGAGAACAGAAATACGATGTATTGTAGCAATCTTATCAGAAAGATGATGACGCCAGTGCCAACAAAAATCCCTTCAGACGTCAACTTTACAGCAGCACAAAGAAAAATCACACCGATAAGGAAGACAAATCAAGAGAAGCAGACTTCCCAAACTAGAGCTAGTCCAACCTGTATATCTACAGACACAACAGCTGCATCAATCAGTCAACAGAAAATAAACTCCAGCTATTAAAATAATCAATTTTAAAAAAACGTGAAAATGAATAGGGAGACATTCAATACCAAGGAGCATGAAGTGGACCACACTTTTTCACTACACTAATTACAATTAATTAATCAGTTGATCAGTTGTATGAAGTTTTAGAGATTAGTAACAGTAGTATTTTATTTACGCATTATTCAACTCAGCAGTAACACTGTTTGATTATTGCCCTCTTTGCATTCCATCTTTAAAATGATTCATTACTTTAAACTAATTGATACAATTCATTTGGAGTGTTTTAGACAAACATATTTTCAGTTCCCACTGGCCACAATTCAGAAACTCACAGCAGCCACACAATCAGAGCTCGTGATTTTAGACTCTTTGTTGGATTTCATAAAAGCTTTAGGTGGCACACTGCTTGTAAAATTATCACAAAATAGAAACTGGGAATGTGACAAAGTAACGAATCATTCTAAATACAGAATGCAAAGAGGGCAACAGGCAAGGGTCTTTTTAATTGTTTGTACGCTGATTTGAATAACGCAGAATTAAAACACTACTTGTAACAATCTTTATAAAACTGATCATAAAATCTTTATGTGGCACAACTGCTTTTAAAATTCTTACAAAATAGTAACTGGGAATGTGACAGGTAAATTAACTGGAAGAGGGAATAAGATTGATGGACACAAATACATGGAGAAACTTAACGCATATAAAAAACAGCAATCACAGAGCAAACTGGTGGACGACATTGTTTAAAAAGATGAGCATTCAGAAACTCAGTGAACAGAGAGCTGTGACCTTCAGAAGAGCTTACTTCAGACAAGACAGAGTTTCAAACCTTTAGCCACGGAAGCAAACGATCAGCATCCACCAATTCATCGTGATGACATCATTCAACAAGAATCCCAAACAGCTCAATCAGTTCCCTGCTGCTTATGACATCACAAAAGGAAAGGCGTTTTGTCAGGACACCCGGCTGAACAATCGCCAACGCTCCCATCATGCTGTGACATCATCACAGAGGGACAGACAGCTGAATGAGCTGACTCAGTGTTCAATAACTGGTTTTGTGTTGCCGTCTGAGCTCAGCTCAGCGCAGCACAATGACTGATGCACACAAAAGAGTGTGACACCATCACAATATACCAACACTATATGTTCAATCAATGGGCCTCTATGGTCTTATAGAATAGTCTGCAACCAATGTCTTTAACTCAGATTTGCTGCATCCTCAAACACTGTTTTTAAAAAAATTACGTGTAACCCTCTGAAACCCAAACCCGCCAGTGGATTTAGCAGGCATGTTATTTTTTTTTCTTCTTCTTTTTTTAAAAAAGTTAAAAATGACACCATTTATCAAAGTCAGAAACTGTAAAAACAGAAATAGTTTATAGAAATGTTCAATGGTTCATCCACTAATTATCTGTGGTGTGACTTTCCACTGGAATACTAAATCAAATCTAAGCTTAAAATTTTGGTGTTTTCTTAAAATCACACACCAACTATGTCACATTTACAGAGCCCTCCATAATTATTGGCACCCCTGGTTAAGATGTGTTAAAAGTCTTAAAATAAATTCAATTTTTATTGCAGAAGTATACTCTCACACTGAAAATTGTTGAAAAATGTAACCTTCAACTCAACTCAAATGAATTGTTGGCAAAAGGGGGTTGCACAAAGTATTAACATCAAGGGTGCTAATAATTGTGGCACACATGATTTGATGTCAAAGAATAATTTTTTAATGTGGGATTTTTTTTTCACACTGAATAAATGCACTTGAATTGAAGGTTGAATTTTCCTCTTTTTTTTCATTGTGGTCCTATATTATTTAGAAAAAAAACTGAACTTACTAGAAGCTAAAGTACACATTTTAACCAGGGGTGCCAATAATTATGGAGACCGCTGTATATATAAACTGTATGCGTCAACCAGATTTTGTAAAAAAAAAAAACAAACAAAAAAAACCACACACACACACATATATATATATATATATATAAAATTCTGGACTCATCGCTGCAACTCTAACAGTTAAGGGACTTTCCCGGGACTATCTGACTAAACTGCTGGCTATGTTTACAGGAAGCAGACAGGAGACAAGTCTGGAAACAAGTGAAAAATGTAAGTCGTAAAATATATAGTATGTGGAAAATTTTTAACCGATACTGGTATCATCTGTGGGCACTTGGAAAATTGCTGTTGATTTCATTTTTTTTTAAATTTTTGTAAAAAAGAAAATTCAACTTTTGTCTTTTCTTTTGATGATTTATGAAAATACAGCCTTTTATACTGAAGAAAAAACATTTTGATTACTCGCCACTTCTAGTTATGGTTGTGCTGTTTCTATAGAGAAGCAGGACTTCATTTTGCAGTGAAAAATGAGAAAAAACTGTGACAGGAGCAAAAAAAAAACCCAGGAACTGCTTGAGGTTCAGAGTGTTACACAGAGAAAATCTAACAAAACAACCTCCTGCATTCACACTACAGTTAACGACACAACCAATTGTGCATTTACGGATACAGTACGTGGCCCTGAATGAGGTTAGTGTATTGTGAAGTGGTTTGAGATAACAAAAGCAGAAGAACATGTAAAAGTAAAGTAAAAGTCAGTACTATTTGCAGTATTTACAAACAACACACAATGCTGTCTGTGTAGACTCTGAAACATCCAGGTCACAATAATGCTTC